CAATCTAAGGTAAGATAGGAAAAAAAAATCACAAAAAAAGAAAACACTCAAAGAGCGTGTGAGTATGGACATTTCTTTAGTTCTTGTCAAATGCCCATTACCCTGAGGAAAGGACAAAATGACAAAAACAAGAGTTCAGATATATAACTTTGACCTTCTAGAAGAAGAATGCTTTAGTGAAAAGCAGATACCCTTATTCCCCATTATCTAGCTGTAAAAAATGGGGGGTGGGGTGAGGGAGTAATCTAAAGCAAAACCAGGAAATATTAGGTACAAGATACTAATCAAAACATTTTTCATAAGTTATTGCATAAGTTACTGCATACTTCAGGGAGCTCTCTTGTCACAGACAGATGAATGTAAGTTTAAAGTTCACACAGATCTGCAGGACTTGGCCACAAATCATAAATTAGTCCATTGCAGAGAAGCTGCAATGTAATTCTTTTGAGAGACAGATATTACAATGTGCAACTCCAAATCTCAAAGTTCATAGCAAAGACTCCTCCCCAGACCCCTATGGCAGCACCCATCGAAATGCTGTAAAGCTGCTGTTCAAGCAAGGGCCAGTGAAAAGATTTTAATTCAGACCCAACCAAACAGTTTCACAGCAGAGGAGGGTGAGTTAACAGCTGGGAGGGTGGGAATAAATCAGTTTTGCTGTTACAGGATTACAATGTGGGACATACCCTACGAGCATTTCCCACAATTCATGTCCTACAGCAATAGTGAACACTCCTAAAGCAAACTGGGGCAGTCTGAAAAGGGTGTTTCCCTTAAAAACATCATAATGTTCAAATTAAAATGCAAGGCCAAAAGAGTTTGGAATATTTGCCATCATGATTTATTGTATATTTTTTGTGTGCTTGCAGGAGCCAAAAAAATTGTTTCATAAGCAAGAGAAATGTATTTTCTTATGAAATTGCATCTTATGCGTTTTTCTTTATACTAAATAAGACATGAACTTTGACTCCAGATCTTTGTAAGGCTGAACTACTCATAACAGCTATTGTCCCTCTTCCAGTTTCTCATTTTAGTAAGCTTGTCACAACTTAATATCTGAGAATTTCAAGTCTGAGATGTCTACCTGTTAATAAAGTACAGTCACATTTGTAAAAAGCAACTGGGTCAAAAGATGGACTCAGGAAACATGATCACAGCAAGCCCCATTTCATGAGAGAAGAAAGTTAAAAATATATTAAAAAGTACACAGAGTCCCAGGGAAAGCAGATAAAATCAAGCTGGGAGCTCACTGTGCCATGTGACAGCATGCTCTCTAATTATTTTCACTGTAGAAGAGACTGTACAATAAAAAGATCTGAAATCAGAGCAAAAATGTCCCACCCTCAAGCCAAGAAAAACAGCAAGGATGCTAGGGAAGGAATGAGAGTAGGTCTGAATATTACTTGTAGGAAAAACATAGTTAACTTTTTCCTCCCTCAAGAGGGGGAAGAAGGTCAGTTTACAATATACCTTCTTCCTTGCTTCCATTTCTAACACTGACATTTTCATCAGCCACATTTTTTTTCACTTCTCCTTATTGTTTCCTCTGTGCCCACGTAAACCTCACCTTCTTCCTTATTGTTTTCAGTTCTCCCTTTGCCATTTCTCCTGTATTTAATTCCTCTACTCAGACCTCTGTAGTCTCCTCCTAATTCTCACTGCTCTTGATCAAAACCAGACACTTTCTGTGGAATGTGAACCTTCAGATAATGCAATCACAAGCCATACCTGGCTGATGCCCTTTTGCATGATTTTGGCCATGCAGATTGCGTGCAGGCAAAATTCAGCTTTGAAAATCCACCCCATTTTAAATTTCTCTTTAAAAAAAATAAAATAAACCAAAGTCAAACACATTTGGACATTAATTAAACATAAGAATCAGAGAATTTATACTGAAGCCTATGTCCAAATACTAAATTAAAGCTTACTTTGGCAAATTGTTTGTACTGGCCATTTGGGAAGGGTGTGGAAATTGTTCAGACAGAAGGAAGAATAGGAAGAACTTGCTTGTCTTGGCTACTTTCTCTCATTTTCCATTCTTTCCTTCTTTCTTTCTTCTCCTGTGTGTAACACCCACAGATTTCCTAATGAGCTGGTATGCGACCCACCACACACTGCAGTGGGGGTGTAACTCAAATGAAAATGAAATGTAAATTAACAAGTAACTCGCATGGATATTTACATTAAGTGTTACAAAAATTGAAAGGTAGTGTCAAGTAATACTAATATTAAACATAATATAATGTTAATACTAAAAAGAAGCTGTGATAGGTGAAAATTTTCTCTTCAAAAATGTTATAGTAGCGAGGAAGTAGAGGACTTAACAAGTCTTAAGGTAGCTTGGCCTCTAGTTCTGAAATGAAACCTAATACATCATGCCTTGCCATTAAAGGTAGTCTAAAATCTTATTAGTACAGGTCTAATAAGTCTCTTTTCAAGAAGTGTTGAATACATCCTTCAGTGTGAACAGCAAATAGTTAAAATTGACTTGAAAAGATGCATCTGCAGGCAGGGGTGGAATGCTGACGTGGGACACTGGAAAGAGTAAGCGAGCAGTTAATAACCATGTGCAGGATCCCTCTATAGATACACACTTCTTTACAGGAGCAGGGGGCTCACAGCAGTGCAACTCCAGGCACACTTGAATCACTGGGAGCAGCAGAAACCACACAGAGCTTGAAGCCCTCAGAAACTCCTCCTGAGCTCCAGAGGCAACGGGAGCTGCAGCCACAGCCTTTTCCCAGCAGCACCTCCGTGGAGCACTGCCCTGGGTGGCACTGCCAACACAGAGCCACCTCTATGCTGCAGTGTGGCACCTCAGCTGTGTGACAATGCAGAGCCTCCTCGCTGCAGGCCGCAGGCAGAGCCCTGCTGGGCTCCCAGGAGCAGGCACAGCACCAGAGGCACTGCTGCAGCCCCCCAGGCAGTCCTTACAGGCAGGGCCCCTTGCCCCACTGAACACCCACCTACTCTGTTATTCCTTCCCAGGTAAGAACAGACTCCAAGGGAACTTGAAGAAACTTGATTCTTGGGCTTGAACAAAGCACTCCTTTCTTACAAATTACAGCCTTGAGCAAAGCAGGCTGAGAGAAAAAGAAAGAGTTGGCTTTGGAAGTGAAGCTGAACATGAGTGTTCGTTATCACAGCCTGTTTTCTTCCTTTAGTTCTTTATTGTTAATTAATGACGGTGAGATTAACTGCAGAAAACTGATGGAACAGTCATTCTGCCTCATCCAAAGTAAATATCGTTTAATCTAACACTGTCACTGATATTACTGATGACCTTCTCAAATGCATTTCCCTAAGTTTTTAATTTTCAGGAAACAAGGGGAAGAGTCAAGCAGAAGAACAGCTCCCAACCCTGGGACAGCACATCAGTATTTTTACTGAAAAGCTCATGATGTGAAAGAAAATAGAAGACCCTAAATTCTAACAAACACACTTAAATTAATGTTGCATCTACCCACATATATAAAAAACAACTATTATGTCTGGCAGTTTTACCTTATAAAATCATCATTTTTTTCAAAACTTACTTTTTACCACGGCAGGAAACTTCAAAAAATAAATAATAAAAAACATCCCTTCATAAAAGAAAACACATAAAAACCTCAACAGATCTTAGAAATTCAGATCCCACCATCTGCAATGCTCACTCACAATCAGAAAAGTACCAGAGTCTGAAAGTTCATGTGCTTGACAAACAATAATGATATTTTAAAGGGATAAAATGTAGTTTCAACTTGCAAGGAAGAAAAGGGTTTGGAAATCCTTCAGTGGCCTGAAGCACCTCTTGCATATGAGGTATTGTGTTCCTGAGGGGTGGGAAAAAGCCCCTGTCATGCCGGAAGAACCTGGCTCCCATATATGCCTAAAATGTTGCAATATGAAGCCAATCATACAGTATATAACTTGTGTTTTATCATTATTATTGACAACAGCATGCAAAGCTGCAACCACCAATCAGCATTCTATAGGAATACACCTTGTTCAACAATGGAAAGCATTTTAAGAGGCAAAGAACTTGTTCCCAATTGGAACTGTTCATCCACTACATGTTGAATTGTAAAATTTACGAGCCTAGTGATGCTATAATGCGAGTATGTAATGCCATGCACTGCAGAAGCCATTCTCCAGCAGAGCTCTCTCCTGCATTGAAGGAGATGTGACAAAGCATGGCCAGCACAGAGCTTTACTGCTGCAGCCCTGCTCTTCTGAGACATGTTTATAACTGCTCCAGGCTAGTAACTAACACCAGTAATTTTTTGCCTAAGAACTATTTAAAGATAAATTGCTGTATGATATAAGACCAACAGATGAGCCTATCAACTGCAAACCCCACATTATGCTAACAATGAAATGGTGTTAAACAGGAACTGGCAGCCATTCAGCCCCAAAGCTGATCTAGCAGTAAGGCCCAAGCTGCAGTGATCATGATCTTTAGTTTAAAATGAGGGTGTACTGAAATGGCACCTGCTGGCCTCATCATCCTCACACACACAAAAAGTGAGTTCCAAATAGGTGAAGGCTCTTAATCTCTGCACTCCCAAGGTCATGGGCGCTGCTGCCAGTAGCACTGGTGAAATGACAAATGTCACTTATCACATCACACCAACTTTTTAAGACTGAACAGACTGCCAAAAATAAAAGGAGAAGATATTATTTCTGTATTTAAAAATTCTACACTAAATGGGTGAGTGGAAAAGAGATTTAACTAACCAGCAAGACTTCAACCAATCTTGCAGAACAAAGGGTTGTATAAGTAATTTTTTTAGTTCTAATGATAGGCTCTTGGACTAATAGTACCAGCATTATGTTCATTTTTAAGCAACACAGAAAATTAAAATCCACTTAATTTTTTCACTAACATAGCTGAAGTAATTCCATTCCAAAACATCAACTATTTCAGGCCTTGCTGATGGCAAATTTCTCACAGAAAATATAAAAACAGCATTTTCCACGGCACTTTATGGCACACTAAGTGAAATAATTTCTGTTACCAGTAAGAAACAAAGGCCCAGATGATCCCTGTTCCGTGGGCTTGCACTGGCCACGCTGTTTACGTGCCTCCAAGTAGTGTTTGACCCTTGACGCAACAACTTCTTCCAGCAGCCTGCAGACCTCCTGAAAGAGAAACCACTGGCCTGGTTTGATCTAAATTTACAGAAATGCCCTCAGGCACACAGCAGAAACCAATACAAAATTACCCCCTCTCCCATTAAAAGGAAAAACATTGAGGAGAAGCACATGAATTAGGAAATGGATGGGAACAAGGAAGGGAATCAAACAATTTTTCTAAAGAACAAAAGAGGAAGTAGATTATGAAATTCTTACTTGGCAGATGAAATACATTATATTACAATACTAACTTTTTAAAACCAGAAATTAGTTTCATATGCATGCAAAGTAGGAAAAAATACATGTTAAAAATGTATCACAACATTAGGTATTGAAGCAAAATTTTAGTAAAAATCCTCTCAGGAATTGTCACCACACTATTTGTGTTTAAGAATCCTTATAAACAACAACACATATTTTGCTCCAATTCTGAGTAATTTTGGGGGGGCGGGGGGAGTGGATAAGACTGAGCAAATTAGGTCACAGCAACTTAATTGCTCTAATTAATTTAGATTTTTCTGCTCCTAAACATAACTGTTCATATCTTTCATACTTTCTTCAACAAAGCACAATAAAACCACAGATAACTCAGGAAGAGCAAAACCTTCTGCCAGAATTAACCAGAAAAAAAAATCCCACTTGGAGTAAAAACCAAAAATTCATCTCTTGGATACCAGAATAAGTTTTAAGCTTAATACACACACACACATCTGAGACTTTTCCCTCAGTATTCTCATTTTCCATTGTTCATAACTATGTGCTCACAGGAATGATCCTTTGTGGCACACAAAAATATAATTTTACTTCTAAAATGTGTTAGGGTAATAGATAAAATTATGTAAGTAGTATCTAAACTATCTTGCCTTGAAATTTCCTTTTGATTAATGTAGAAAGTACTCAGAACAACAAATTTTTAATAAAAATCTAAATGAAAGCAGGGCATATACATTAGTCAATCACAACCAGTACTTTCCCTTTACAGTAAGAAATCCACTTTCCTTTCTGCTTGTAGAGCACAATTATAAATTTCTGTATTTGCTTGTCCTTCTGTTTAACTCATTAAAGTGCTCCCATTACACATTCCTTCATGGAGTTACGACGAGAAGGTCTCAGAAGCAGCAGAAACATGGTGTGTCTTTGGTTCCTTCCACAGCAATAAACATTACCTTGCACTTCCTTCATTTGCATGGAACGTATTTCACTTGTTAGCCTTATGGAAATGTTATTTAAATGGCTCCCCACAAAGAACCATACAGACCTCAGAGAGCAAAGATAAAACCGTGACTCGGCCATTCCAGGGGAAAAGGGGCCTGGAAGAAAGGGCAGAGGAATTGGAGGGCAGAAAGAGGGAAAGCTGCAGCAGTCCCAGCAGTGCCAGGAGCCCTCCCCACGCAGCCGGCCACAGCCGTGTGCCACGGCGCCCATTCCGACACCCGGCTGGATTCCCTCGCTCCAGCGCCGTGCTTTGGGCACTGGGGTAGCTCCACCCTGCCCTCCACAGCCCGTGCTCCGAGGCGGCAGCAGCACCAGGGTCCCGGAGCTCAAGCTGATGACTTCCAGCCAGGGTAGGCAGGGATCAGCGGGAATTGTTTGTTACAGAGGCATCCACATTTCCCACAGACACCCAGAGAGGGCCGCACCATCACGAGCATTTTTCAGAGTTTGGAAACAACAAAAATGCAGAAAACCGCTGGGGATGAACATGTAAAAGCTCTCGCACAAAATTACATTGGACTAATCTTTCTTTAGGACCTTTTCTCCCCTCACTTACACAGAGATTCTGCATAGGACTTTCAGGAAGTGAACTGCAAAGCTATTTGACTCACACTTCTCAGTTGCTGAAAATATGCAACCTTTGTACTTCTCTCGAAACATGCAGTCATAGAAATGCACCGAATGCTGTCCTGTCATGCCTCTTTATTAAATCAATCATGAGCTAATTTCCTGAAATTCATCTCTTTTGTTTTGGCAGTCTTACAAAATACATTTTGAAAACGTTTAAAACTCAGATAACCAGGAGAGCAAAACTTGTTTTAAAACAGAAAAGGTAATGAGCATTCATTTAACCATAAAAAAGAAATCCGAGCGATTTTCCCTATTTTCTTATTCCTGTACTTAAAGCACAAATCAGATGGACCACATGCTGCTAAACACTGTGCTGTTGCTCCCTCAGGATGCGAAGGCATTGTTTCTTTCAGTTCCATTGAAATGTATGACTCTGGGATGTCTGGGGCTGTGCAGTGACAAGTTAATGATGGCATTATTGGGGAAGCTATCTGCTGAAAGTGCCGTAAGGGAGACTTGCGGGAAAGTGCGCAGGCATCCCAAACACGTCCTGCCCTCCCTTCCAGCGGCGCAGGGAGCTTCTCACGTTCCCACACAGGAGAGACAGCTCCTGCCAGACACAGCACAAGCTCCTCTGTGATTCCCTGCAGCTTGATCAAAGCTGCAGGCAGACTTTTGCTGCTCACCGATTTCCCACTATTTCATCAAGATATACACGTGACACTTAAAAATAATGGAAGTTTCTTTTCATACAAGGCAACAGTTCTACTATGGTTTATCTTGCATATTTATGTTTTCTTGCACTCTCTAAATGCAACATCATTTACAATTCTCAGAATGAGGAAAAAATTATTAGGAAGATATTTCACCATCAAAATTATACCTGCCACAATCTGGTTTGTATCACTCAGGATAATTTACAAGCATTCATGAGAAACATTTTTAAATTAAAAGTTAAGTCACAAGAATACACACAGCACACATGCATGCATGAATGTGCACACACAGAGTTTAAAATTTAAAAAGCAAATTTAAAGTGGTCATTGGTGACCCAAATAGCACATATGGCTGACTTAGGGGTCCCATGGCAACAGCTGATGGTTAAGTATAACTAACAATATTCTCCTAACATTGAAAAATCCTGAACGGTTCAAGGCAATCCAACTTTTTCCCTGCAGCCATACACTTTTGAAGTAGAATTGATATTTGTTGTACCTCTTTCTCATGATCTGAAAACCAGCTGGTGTCTTTACTGGAGCCTTGAGGCAAAATATGAACATCCACCAAGACAGCAAAGTTCCCACACTGGAAAAAAAAAAAAGAAAAAGAAAAAACATGTTGAACTGTAGCTGCTAGGAAGCACATGTTGAGCAGACAGGGAAATAAACAATCAGGTAAGCACGTGTATCTGATTCAGAGTTACAGCAGGCAGAACATTAAATCATGGAAGTTTATGAAGTATGGAATTACGGATTTATCATTGTTTTTGGACTTAACAAGGAGCAAGAGCACCAGGCCTATCCTGGATAGCTCACTGAAGTGTTCATATGACAAGCACAAGTATGTGGAATTTACTTCTGCTACCTAAATGCCTCTTTTAAATCTGAGTTCAAGCAAATTTTAATGTGCGAAAAATTAGCTATTCCTTCACCAAACTCACATAGTTCTACTTCTGAAAATCTGGCACCACATTAATTATCTGGTTGGTGCTTGAAATTTATTATCTAAAAATTCAGCATCTTAGAAGTCTTTTCCTTTCTCCATGCTACCTAATGTAAAGAAGAGCAAGTCTGAAGGACTTGTCAGTGGATATCTGGCACTTAGCACATCTGTCACCTGCACTTCGAATGGTTCAATAATCAGGCTCACCTATTACAGTTATTAGGATGATACAGCTACATGCCAAGACACATCAGCTATTTCTGAAACTCCTTGATACGTGCACCTATATCTCAGGCTTATGCTGTAGCACAAGTACAGTTGCTGAGAGTACCCTTACCTATACCATTAGCACTAAGAGCAAAAAGATTTAGCATTAATTTTACTGATCATAACAGCATATTCGTTAAATTTGAAATCTCTTGGTTAATAAACACTCAGATCTGTAAATCAACTGCAAACAGAAGTTTCTAAATAATGATTCAAATATAATTAAAACGTAATTCATGGCCAATATTGTATTGTAGCTACAATACAAAAGTTTGGCAAACGAGACAGGCATTGTGAAATAACTTTGAGAAACTTCTAAGTTACTTGTAGGTATCAGTCACTGAAAGAGCAGAATGCTTTGATCTATTGTATCAAAAGGCTTCTCTTTCCTCCAGAGAACCAAGAATTGCCAGATGGCTGCCACAGCAGACTTTTAAATGGATGACAAAATATCTCACAAAAATCTCTGGTGAATCATTAGTCAGCTCCAGCAAACTTTAAATTGACTACTGAACTTCAAAGTTAGCAGACGCTGCAGATTATAAAGTGAAAGCCAGTAAATTATTCATGGTTCAGCACTAATAACAACAAACAAGTGGTTGATACATCAAGAAAATTCAAATTATCAAATGCTCCATGTTAACTGGTATCATTTTCTATTGACTACAAAACTTTATGCACAGATACAAAGTATAGACTTGTTTTTCAAGGAGACAATGTTTGTAATTATTTTCTTCTGAGTGGCACTGTTTGTCTCAGTCGCCAATCTTGAAACGATTGGAAAAAAAGAAAATAACGAACCACATTCAAAACTATACAATGGAACAGTTAAAATTATCTTGAAAATTTTACAAACACACCAAACATTTGTTGTGCTTTAAAGAAAAACCAGATATAAATAGCACATGAATCTTTGTAATAGTCAAGGTTTCCCAATGGAAGGACACTTTCTATCCCTCTGAGCTTTGGAGCACTCTTCTTTGCACACAGCACAGCTGGAAATATTTCAGTAGCCACAAGCCAACAGCTTTGCCCCACAGTCAGAGCAGCTCTGGGACAGGACGCAGGGAAGCACCACTGGCACAGGCAAAGAGGAGAAGGGGGAGTCAGAACACGAGCGCAGCCCCTCCCGAGCCTCTCCAGCTCCTGTTTTTGGTGAGTGCTGGACTGATCTGAGTGACAGCTCCCAGGCAGGCTCCCCTGCATTTCTGCTTCCTGTGCCTTCACAGGCTACAGCTCTGAGCAGCTCCATACAACCTGGGCTGCTCCAGCAAGCAAAGGACAAGTACACAGTAAATGCCAATACAAACAATGGCAGGGAACAGAGGCAAGTGGAGGAAAAATGTACACAGTTTATATTAGAAGATCTGATGCTCTTACAGAAGTTTCTGGTTTTATTTTTATTCTGATGACATGCAATTCCATGAAAATGCTCCCTTTTATTTTAGTGGAAATGAAGTGTTTCCAGTCAGCGTAGCTGCAAGATGCAACTCGTGGCTCCTAAGTACCACAACTGAGAGGCAAACAAAATGAACAGCAACTTTTAATTTCACGCTTTCAACATCCATCTCAAAATTTGCACTGAAAATTATTTTTTGAGGTGTTATAGTAAAACCTGAAACTTGAATGCCTGATTTGATGGGAAACATATTTGTCAAGAATCAATAGGAAAATGTTTCACTCAAAAATTAAAGACAGAAGCAGATGCTCCAAGTTGATATCCCCCATAATTCTAGGTTTCAAAAACTCTTCATTTTTACAAGCTGTTTTTAATGTTCACATTCTTACTGTAACAGTCTAATGACATTCATTGTGTTACTAAACAAAGGGCTTTAAATGATCTCAGAATGTTGTTAGTGTATTGTTGTACAGCATTGGCATTTAATTCAGAACATCTTTTCAGAAATGAAATTGTTTATACAAATACATCAAACACTTCATAGACTCTACAAATTGAAAATATAACCAGACATGTAACGTAAACAGAACAAAACCCAACACAAAGTGGTCATTCAGGCAAAGTCATCTGCCCATAACCTGCTGAAACCTTGAAAGCAGCACATGCTAGATGGTGAACTATTGTTGCAAAACCCAGAATGAGTAAATAAACCCAACTCAATACTTTTTATTGCTATAGCCATTTTTACAATCAGTGGGCTTCAACATGGATGCTGCTGTTTCTATAAAGTGCATCACACGAGCAGCATCAAAGCAGTCCTTATGAGGAGGGAGTCCTTGGGATGCTGGGGATGAGCACGGTGAGGCTTGTCCTCAGTTCCAGCACTCCGAGTGCAGAGCCAGCCTCCCAAGACACATTTCAGGGCTCCCCACTGCTGGGATGGTGGATGCGGACTGGAGGGTCAGAACTCACTGGAGCTCAGTTGAACAGAAACATCTCAGAGTTTGGCTGCGCTTTGCCATGGGCAGGAAGGAGCTCGGCCGCAACCCTCACACACTCAAAACTCCAAAGCTGCTCCATGATGAACATACAGGAACTGTTTATTTCTACTCTTCCCTGAGCACTGTGCTACTCTGTTGTTACAGAGAGAAATTTACTCCAGTCTTAGATGATATCTACAGTTAAAAAAAAAAAAAAAAGATAGACTTGATCCCAATGACCACTCCAAAAATGTCACTGGAAGCCCTTTCTGGCACTGTGACAAAATTGATAGAACATATCATCTCTCTCCAGAATGCAAAAGCAGGGCCAAGAGATTTTGTGGGGAAAAAATAAAATAAACCACACATAAGCTTATGCAAAATATCTTGTCTTAAAATAAATAGGAAAATTTGAATATTTTCCATCCTAAATTCTTTCTGAAAATCACTAAGTGTTCTGCACTGAGTCAAGTGAGTTCTAATATTTACAACATAGAGTATAATTATGACCAATTAATCATTGGTCTATACTGTGCCAACTGTATTATAAAAAAACTTACATTTTCCAGGCTTATTAGAAGTTTATTCTCCTCCTTTATCTTTGTGATCCCAAAGAAAATTAAGTGTTTTCCTATTGTTTATACTATTAGCACCAAGGATTTGCAATATTTTGACTTTTTCCTCTTACACAGCAATAGCAAGAGGCAGCATAGTGAGCAAACAGCACAAAAGACATATTTGTCATTACACAGCATTAATTTAACTTTCATTTACAAGATTTGAGGTTATACACAGTTTCTCAAACCACAGGGACACTGTTCCAACACTTAAATGCCTCAACCCGTATAAATACAGGAGTTAGGATATGGATTTATGCCACCACCACTGCTGATGGCTATGAGATGATAAAGGAATTTTGGTGACAGCTAACACTGTACATTTCTCATTATTTTAAGTCGATAAAGTTACAATTTGATATGTGTATGACTTTTCCACATATTTTTCTCGAGAATCTCAAGGGGTTTTTTGTTGTTGTATTTTTTTGGGGGAGGGGGTGTGGTGTCATACTTCTAGGGTAAAAAAAAGGCAAATCAGAGGGAGAATAAGGGGGGAAAAATATTACCTTTTTTTTTCCCCACCAGGCAGGAAGGTTGCATGAAAATAGTGTTTCCCTGGTTAATGCTCAAAGCAAGATATTTCTCGAACTCTCTGTTTCAGAGGGAGGAGGATTTAGGCACTAACAGGTCACCAGTGAATAGTTTTGCTGTCACCAGGTTAATCAGGAACTCACCTAACAAGAGCAATTGACAATTACAGAAATTACAGACAATTACAGCTGATACAATAGCAGAGCAGAACAGATGAGAGAAGAGAAGCCTCCAGAAGGAGCCAAAAGCAGAATCCCTCTAGGAAATCATGTAACAAGTCCCCTCTTCAAAATGCTCAAGTAATATGATGCAAATGTCAGGGAGGAAAAGGGGTATATTCCACTTCTGACCTTTTTTCTGGATAAGAGCTGCTTGGTTCTGGAAATTGTACAAAGCTTGTAGTTTGTCAAAAATTTATATCCTGAAGTTGTAGAACAGTTTCAACAAATAAATGCTTCTTATTAAAGAAGGATTATAGCCATCAGCTAACATCACCTATATCTTTTCAATTCCCTGCTTTCAAACATCTATGGGGTCACTGCAACAGTAAAAAGGGAGCAGCAGATCAAGGGCAATGCTATAATGGTTCTAAATAGAAGATCTATCCTCAAAGATAGCTGCACTAAATTATACACAGATTCAGCAGGAATTGGACAATCTAAAATGCAGGGAGGAAATTCCCCTTTTACAACCTGCATACAAATTATATCTAAGTAATCTCTCACAAGCGGTTGGCTTGCTTTTTTTAGAAGAACAGTTTATGTATGAGGAATTCCTGAAAGGAGGAGTGTTTAATTTTCTGGTGTTTTAGTGGAAGAGAAGAAGCAGTTATCTGAAAATTCAATCAAT